CACCAGGTGAACGCGTTTCCGCCGCTTGCGGCAGGGTGGATCCTCGGGCTGACGCCTCAGCAGGACAGCCCTGCAGCACCTCAAACTTTAGAAACGTCTCTTGACAGTGCTCAGTTCGCCCCAGATCTCGAATGGCAAACCGTGAGTCTGAAGGCCTGCGTGATAGCGAAGGCCGCGGTGCCTCCCGCTCGGGAGGGTTCTTTGGAGCCTGGACACCAGTCTCGCAACCGGCACTGTCTGGCACAAGGGCTTGCCACTCAGGATGAAAGCTGTATTCCACCTTCTTGGCTTTTGCGGGCTTGGTTCGCGGAGCTTGGTCGGCAGCCAGAAAATCCTGCCGTGGACTGTGGTGTGACACCGGCTTCAAATGCTTCCGCAGGCTCAGACATGCTCAGACTCACGGTGTGTTTGTGCTGACGTGAATGCATCCTGTTGGCCATAGCCGCCTTCCCGATTCGTGAAATTTCGAATCCGTCAGCACAGGCAAGTGGAGCCCATCGTGAGAGGAAAATGATGGGTAAAAGCCCCCTCCTTCAGCTCGTTGTAGTCCTCGCCTCAATGGTTCAGTGCATTAGGGGACACACGGCGGACATCAAGAGGATGCTCGGAAGATACTGGTAGTAGCTTATGAAAAGCATTCGCAAACATGAGAGCTTGAAAGGCGCTAAACCCTAAACCCTGAACAATAGACCCTGAATTCCATGCTTGAAATCAGATTTCCATCATATGATGTTGCGAGGGTGCTGCGCCCTAGGCTGACTGGAGACATTGATTAAATGACTAACTCGGGATCCCGGCTGTTGGCTACGCTTCGCGCAGCACTGTGGGCTCTGCGCACCTTTGCGCAATTGGATAGCAGGGCTTGCGGAGTCGTTTATGGTCGTGGGCTGCAAAGATTCGGTTTGAAGTGTTGAGACATGTGATTTCAAGGATTACGCTTCAGAATTGCGCTTCGCCGGTTTCGCAAGTTTCGCCAAACTGTGCGGTAGCAGCATGGGTTCTTGCCTAAAGAGAAAAAGCGTTCTGCGAGAGCAGTTTGGGTTTTCTCCACAGTCCCGTTGGCACTCCCGAAGTTCATGGATTTCGCGGGTCGCTCCCATCGCAGCGCCGAACCCATGTTTACATGTTTGCGGTGGAAAATCTCAGTGCCGTGTTCGTTTTTGGTCTTCAAATCGCTCGAAGTCGCTGAAGTCCTGGCGCCAAATTATTCGCCTCCTCGGACACTCCTGCGGTTCGTGTTTGCGGCCCCGCGAAGTCCTGCGCACGCTTACGGGGATTCGTCTAATCCCGTTCAGGTGCGGTGATGTTCCGAGTTGGGCTTTCACAGCCAGCAGTGCTCACTGCTTGAAAGCTTTGGGCATCCAGCTGGCCTTTCTCTTCAGGCCTTGCGAATTATGGACGGTTACAGCTAGGCAGCGTCCTCAGCAAAATCAATAACAGCACCCCAACCTTCAATCGGCAATGGAAGTGTAGGGGTCAAGGCCCGAAAATTCAGGATCCCAGGATCCTGCTGCAAGGTTGCAGCCCTTGTGCCTTCCCAAGGCTGGCATGGCTTCTGCCTCTCGAGGGCCTGCAATCAAATTTGAGCTCGCTCCCGAACCTAGCGCCTCAACAGCCTGCAAGCTCACCGTCGACCAGTGCAAAACCTATGTATTTCCAATATGAAACGAATTATGAAGTATGCTGCCAGCAAGTGAAAAGACTGTACGTACACCGAAAGCTCAGTGTGAGTGGAATGTGGAGTTGTTTCCGAACGTTGCACTCGGGTTTGGATACAATTGCTGTCTCGCCCGCATCCTCTTTTACGACCAGGCTAAACGTGTCCCCGAGATCTCCCTGGGTATCGGGAGCCCTATGACCCGGACCTGGTGTAGCCCGAAAAATCAGGTATTGGCTAGCCAATGCTAGTGAGTGTCCAGCAAGGGCGCGCTGCCCTGTGGGCCGAAAAGAAAAGAACGAGCTTTTTAGCTTTCCACGTCTGCAGACGTCGACCTTGAGCCGCTACACTTTGGTGACCTTGAGCCGAAGCGTCCGGGTTCGGAGGCTCGTCAGCTACCTTCAGAACTGAACCTGTAAATGCCAAGCGATTGTGTGCCTAGTTAACACTCACACACACACACAAGGAGATCAGCAAAGAAGGTATATATTTGCCATCACTCCGTATGTCTTCGCCAAAATGGCGGTGCCAATACCTATATTATGTCAATCGTCGTCTATGGAAACATGAGCTTGCGTCGTCGATATGTCATTCGTTCTCGCATCCTACATATGATCCGTCGTCAGCTCGTCGTCAATAATCGTCAATCCTACCTATATGTCGTCGCGCTATGTCAAGATCCATCATCCTCTATTGTCTCTTTCCTACCTTATCCTAGCATATCCTAGCCAAGCATCAGCGTTCCATAATTACTGGCCTGACAAGCACAAGTGAACTGCGAGCGACTGGCACTGCAACTCGCGCAAGCCCGTCTAGCGTTCACGATCTGGATATGCTGTGAAGTGGGCTTGGCAATGGGACATACGAGAAATATGGTTGTTAATTGAAAACCCTCGCTAAAGCACGAGGTGAGCAATGGAAGAAGCATGACGTCGGTAGCGCCATGGAATGCAGTTGGAGCACCCCCGCAATGAGAATGACTTTTTTTCGTGGCTGAAAAGATGTTCTGAGGGAGGCATAGTGAGCCTGTACCAAAGAAAGTACGCCTTGCTGTGGCACGCACCTGCGAGTAGGTGGAACTGCTGAAAAACTGCACAAAATGGCTGGCGTTATCATCTCGAATTTTCATGTCCTGTTCCTCTCTCTGACTCCAGCTCTAGCGCCAGTTTGGGCTTCCGAGTTTGTCCAAAGTTTCCTCACAGCACGTGAACTGTTGCTCCACAAAGCAAAGGTTGCAGATGATTGCTGCAGCCAGCACCAGGGTCGTAAAGACAGCTCCTCGGAGTCGTTGGGTGTATTGCGTGCCATAATGGTGCTCTCTATCTCCAAGTCTGTGAGGAACGATAGCCTGTGCAATATCGCCTTCCTCGCTGGTCCCTGCCCCGCCGCTCACCGACCAACTCTTTTCCGGCAGCGTCCAGGGAACACGATTCGCAACCCCTTGCTGCGCGCCATATTCATCATGCTCTCATCCTGGATGCTCAACTTCGTGCTCTGTTCAAAATCCACAAGGATTGTGGCATTCTCTTTGTTATCCTCGTATTCCTCGATCCTGAACGCTCCACATCCCATATTTCCATCATTTCCTGTATGATCTGCCCTCTGCATAATGATATTTGGATGATGATGCTGTATGGGACAATTACTGTCGTATTCCATTGAAATCGTCCGCGTCATTTAGCTAAAACCCTCGAGACATTCCCATCTGTCCAACTTGCTGTAATGCGACTATGGCATCATGGACAGCGCGCTGCTCCAATGGGCCATAACTATGTGCATCGGGCTCTCGTCAGTGCCCGTTTCTATGACATGGGACCGTTCATCCTCCTTCCATGTAAGATCAAGCTTTCCAGAGCAACTCTGGCTTCAGCGCCATCCTCCACCTGCACTACGTGCTTTATGTCTTCGCAATGGGCGGCTGTCTCCCGAGCAGTCTAATTACGAAGCTCAGGGTCCATCCACGACTCGTCCGAGCTTATGGCCAATCTATATGCTCCTCTTCTTCGTCACGGATTGTCTCTTGCCTTCCCGGCATCATTGCTAACCTAGGTATTGATATGTTTTCGCGTACGCTTTCTCCTCCTGACCTAGTATGATCACTAACATGTTCTCTCCTCCTAGAACTCGCTTTATGTTGACCGCCCTCGTCGACAAATTGACCTATCTCGTCATCCACGTCCTGCATCGCAAGCTTGCTGCTTCCTCATATGAACACCATCTCCAGCCTCCCCCCTAAAGCTTTCGATGGCGTCGTCGTCGTTATGTGCACGTGCCATCTCTCCCGCGTCTTGGTATGAAAACTCCACTCCCTGCCCTGCAAGGGTATGAACGGAACAAGGCTTTTAGCTTGTAGATCGGTGCAGCTATGTATTTCCCCAACCCAATTATGAAACGAATTATGAACTATGCTGCGAGCAGGTTAAAAGATTGTACACCGAAAGTTCAGTGTCAGTGGAGTGTGGAGTTGCCGAACGTTGCACTCCGGTTTGGATACAATTGTTTGTCTCGCCCGCATCCTGGCGGTAAGCGCCTCGTTTACGTCCAGGCTAAACGTGTCCCCGAGATCTCCCTGGGTATCGGGAGCCCTATGACCCGGGCCTGGTGTAGCCCGAAAAATCAGGTATTGGCTAGCCAACGCTATTGAGTGTCCAGCAAGGGCGCGCTGCCCTGCGGGCCGAAAAGAAAAGAACGAGCGTTTTAGCTTTCCACGTCTGCAGACGTCGACCTTGAGCCGCTACACTTTGGTGACCTTGCGCCGAAGCGTCCGGGTTCGGAGGCTCGTCAGCTACCTTCAGAACTGAACCTGTAAATGCCAAGCGAACGTGTGCCTAGTTAACACTCACACACACACAAGGAGATCAGCAAAGAAGGTATATATTTGCCATCACTCCGTATGTCTTCGCCAAAATGGCGGTGCCATTACCTGTATTATGTCAATCGTCGTCTATGGAAACATGAGCTTGCGTCGTCGATATGTCATTCGTCTTCGCATCCTGCAGATGATCCGTCGTCAGTTCGTCGTCAATAATCGTCAATCCTACCTACTATGTCGTCGCGCTATGTCAAGATCCATCATCCTCTATTGTCTCCTTCCTACCTTATCCTAGCCAAGAATCAACGCTCCATACAAGCCTAACAAGCTGAAAAGGTGTGCCAAACACTCACAAAGGCCTCTCACGGGGGCAAGCCCCCAACGAATCCTCTTGCCTTCATCGGCACATGTTGGACGTGTCTTCTTTGATATGATATGAATGCCGGGACCGAACTGCAAGCTGAAAGCCCAGCTCCCTTAGCATCCTTCAGCGGGCCAAAGCTCCGAAAAGCTTATTCTGTTGCCCCGCGCCTTGGCACATTCCGATTGCGGCCGGAGCGCGACCGAATTCGGGTCTCGGCCGAGCGGCTCAGATCGCGGCCTGGGCGAGCTGGGCGTTCGACAAAGTCTCAACGGACGCGAGTACGCTTATTTCGCTCGGGTTCGCCGGCTGATCCTTGGATCATTGCACTTGCACTGCCGCTCTTGCAGCAGGAGGCCAACATCGTGGCCAAGAAGCCAGCAGAGTGGTGCTAGGGGGGGAGCAGGCCAGGACGAGCTGATGCTTCAAGTCGGGCTGTTTCCTCCACTTTCCATGGCCTGCTCCTCGAGAAACATTCTTGCACTCAGAGCCCGAGGCCTCGTGCATGACCCGGAGGGTATCATGGATTTTCATGAACTTTCACGAGCTCTGTGGGCTCTCGCATAAATTCCACCATATTATACAACTGCATGTTTTCGCAGCTGATTTACGAATTCGCCGGGACAACGCGGTCACGGTGGCTCTTCCACCTCCTCCGCACTTCTGATCGGAACTTGGAGCCTTGAAGATAGTCTGGGCAGTTTGTTGTCGGAATTAGGTTGGGGACTTGAAGAATCCAAGCCGTCAAAGGAAGTCACCGATTCGCAGGTGCGAAGCCTGAAACCTCAAGCAAAAAGCCTGGTCTTGATCGTCGAAGTTCCGGAATTGGAGTCTGGGTTTCGAACTGAGGACGAACAGTTCAGGGTGCAAGGTTCGGAATCTTGGGCTAACCGCAAGGCTTTTCGCTGTCATCCTGAGCGTCAGGACATGAGCTTCCTTGTTCAAGTTCAGCATGCTTTGGCTTTGGGGTTTTCCCATCGTTGAGGCTCTAACTTTGTCGTCCCATCTCCCGGCCGCGAGGCACTATCCCAGTCCCAGCTCCTCATGCATCCAGACTCGAGGCGGGTTGATGTAAGTAATGATCCCTGTGAGTGGATGCCACCCGAGTACAGCCATTCAGTGCAGCCGAGCTACTTACCGCATTGTCTATGGAACAGGTTTCCGCAAGTCTCTGCTGTGGTACGCTGTGAAATAGCAGACACATCGACATGCTGCTACCGACTCGTCATGGGCAGTACCTAGGCCAATCCTGCCGCATGTACTTCACGATCAAACAAGTAGCATCAGGCTGTAGGGTTTTGTCCAGCATTGCATGGCATGGCAACTTATGGACGGATCCGCAGCTACGTGCTGGTTCAGGACTGGATGCGTCTCGCTTAAACCAAGTTGGCACACGGAAATGTTGATGGCATCAGGAAAGCTCCTTGTGAACCTCTGCGCCATTTCATCATTCCCGTCTAAAACTGGTGCAGCATGGTGCAGCTATGTTGTACAGAGAAGCCCCACAGGTCATGATGACAATTTTCACATGAATTCGTGAAGGAAGAGACTTCACTGCCTGATAGCATAGGCATGTCGGAGAACCATCGCGCGCAAGTGCGGGCATGGAAACTGTGCCGCACACGGGCTCGTTTATGTACGGCTGTGTTGTGAGATTGCTTTGCTGTTGCCTGCCTGTCTGCATGGAGCTATGTATGCACGCACATGCAGAAATGCTGGTCGGGATTTAAGTTGCACGTATGTATTGTATTCTACTGTACTGTACTGTACTGCACTGGACAGGACTGTACAGCATTGTACTGTACTGCACTGTATTGACCTGGACTGCACTGGACTTGTCTTAGCTTGTCTTGTATCCTGTTTATGTGTGTAAGGACTTCGTGTGTACATAGTTGTATATAGTACGCATGCATGTAAGTATGTGTGCGAGCATGGGGCTGCAGTGGGAGCTGGTATGTAGGTATGCTTGCTTGTTGGTACATGTGCACAGGTTTGAAACCAGTAGGTGCACACGTGTACGTATCTGTGTATGTCTTCGTACATGTGCCGAGGGGCAGCCTCTCTGGCTAAAACATTCTCTCCGAGGAATTCGAAGGTGCCGGAGTTCGACGCCGAAGGATCAAAACCAGTCTAATCTCCAGGGTGACAAACCCAAGCCTGTCGCAGCATCGTGACATGTCCCTAATCATTTTGCCAACCGCCAAGCCAAGCTTCCTCATGCTATGCAAGCTGACATCACTCAACCCCGGAATCCGCTTCTGCTACGTGGTCTAGAGCTGGTAACCCTTTGTCAGGCGTCTCAAGCTCGCGTTTCGGAGTCACCGTCTCCCTTCTTAGCTTTGTATCTTCGGCATCCTCGGATTTCCTCAAGACTGCTCGTTCACAGGGCACCAGAAAGAGCACCTGCAGGTGCCTCAGAGCACGCAGAGGCATCTCCAAGACGGTTTCTCACGCGAGGCTCAAGACTTGCGGGTGCTTCAGCCGAGCAAGACTCTACAGTCGGCACTAAGGGTTCGAGGTCCGTGCTTCGTGTTGTATGAGCATGTGAAGGGTACATCCGGCGGGTTTAAACGGCTACGATACATGTTGCAAGGCTCGGCAGGTTTGTTGAGCGTTCTTTCCTGTCGGGCCAGACGAGGGAAACGCTGAGTTGCGAGTGAGCTATATGGAGTGTGCGCCCTATGCACCGGCTTGGGATGCCTTGAGAATTGTTTGGAACTTCTGCCAAACTCATGCCCACGTTCAAACTTGCAAAGACTCGCTGAGCTCGCCACTCGGCGCTGCTTCCGCCGTCGGCGCACCTCCACAGCATCATGCTAAACACGAGAATACTCTAACGCAGGCATACGATAAGGGGTTCACGGGTGTCGAGGTCAGGCTGATGGTAGTGTTGTGGACAACATGCTTCTTCGCCAGTACTTGACAAATTCAGTTCTGTTCCATCTACGTCCGAAGCCGTTTTGGTCTGCGACATCGGCAGACTTCCACGAAGTCTTGAAGGCTTCATCTACGATGCTAGCGACGCAGGTGAGGAGACGGCACACTACGCGCTAGTTCTCTCTCTGGGACGACGAACCATATCCTCGGTCAAAACAGGAATACTGCGAAAGCAGAGAATAAACCAAGGGAGTGAGAAAAGACAACAACTACCGAGGCTGTTGGCAGAAAAAGCATTCAAGTGGCCTCAAACATGACACATAACCCCAGCGACTGTTGAACGAAAGCCCAAGATCAAATCCCTACTGGGTAAACCAGTGGTGTCTTCGGAGCCAAAGGCCTTGATGGTTTTTCGATTGGTGTGAAGACAAGCACCGTTTGCTGCCTACAGGCAACCCTGAAGCTTTGCTGCACATGGGAATTCCCTGGAGTTGTCCGTGGCGAACTTAAAGTGCTCTTTGTCAGCATTTTTTTAGTCGGGAGGTGGAGATTTGGGTTCAGTGCCCGGCACCTCGCCCGGCGGGCACAGGTGGCAGTGGAGGCAACTCTGTCCCCGTGCGCAGCCCTGGCTCTTCCAGAACCTGAGGCGAAGTGGAACTGGAGCTTTGGGGTCGGAGGAGTTAGCAGCAGTTAGCAGTTAAGTTGTTGTGAGCTTAGGTTCGGGAGCGCCCCGGCCCCTTCTTGAGACAAGCTGCCACATACATGGCTTGCATTGCCCGCTGGAGTGAAGGAGGGCACCCAGAGAGGGCTCCACCCGTCTTTGCATCTCGCAGTCGGTGTCGCTCTGTGATCCGCTCTGTGACCCTGAGAGGCTGGGGGATTCCAGGCCTGGCGGTGGCTTCAGCCGGGAGCCTTTGGGGGCTTTGCGCCGCTTGCGATCCTTGACCTCTGTTTCAGGACAAAGGTGGCAGTGCAGGCAGTCCGCCCCATTCTTACATCCTTGGAGCTTCCAAAACCAGGCGCACGGCTTGCAAAGCCCTGTCCCATGCTGCACCGAGCCCTTGGAAGGCAGAGCCTCCAGGAAGGCTGCCTCCTCGTCACTGGACCCGTTAAGGCTCTCTCCGGCAAGGGCATAGTCATAGCCTCGGCTGACCCGCAGAGTCTCACACAAATCGGGGAAGCCTGAAACGCTCCATCCCGGGAACATTTGCTCACCGATCGGCCCTGGTAGCTTTGGCTGTAAGCTGCATGGGCCCCATCAGCTGGCAGCTGCTCCTCAATCAGGTCAGCGATCCGGATCTGCATAGGAGCCAAGAAGTAGTCGGCGGAGAAGGTCATGGCCCTCAGGATTCGATGTGCTGGAAGATTAGGTCCCAGGTCTTCCGGGTGAAGTCAAATCTCCCATGACCGTTTCCCAACTCCCAAACTCACCAAGGATGTTCAAAAGACTAAGACTAAACTCAACCCGCCATAACAAAGAGCGGAGTGCAGCAGCAAAGCGATTTCGGCCAGGTCGCGAAACAGGGCCGAGCAGGTTTGTCCAAGGCTTGTCGAGTGTCGTTTGGGCCACAAAAGCGCTGAAGCGCACACGAGGCCGGCCCGATGTCTCACACTCATGTCCAAAAAAGACAGAACTCTTCTGCACAACCATGACAGCGACGGACACACGCGAGAACAGACACGAGTTGTTGAAGGTCGATTAGGCAAGCAAAAAGCAACAGAACTTACCCCGAAACACAAGCTACCGATTTTGTGGAAATGGTGTTGAAACCGGTGTCTGTCACTCGCTCACTCAAGAAACTCAAAACTTTAAATTCCACTCACATCCCAAAGCGACACACCAGGAAGTAAAGCAATCAAGCACGGCAAAGCCAAAAACTTAAAGCTGGGCTGTTGCAAGCACTCCCCAAAATCGATGATTGAACATGTGCAGCAAGCCCGGTGCACATTTGCAAGAGGTTGGCGAGAAGGGTTAGCAAGACAGTACATTCAGCACATGCATGTCCATACCAGGATTGGTTGAGTCAGGTACTTAGCGTCATGCTGCAAATCCGAAGCCACAAGGGCAATGGAACTGGGAAATGACCCCTGGGGGTGGGCAACAAACGTCAACGCAAAGCAAACTCGAAAGGTAGCTTGTGTCTCACGTCTGCGGCTTCAGAATGACCAAGGCTGCTTTCGGACACCCCTGATTCGTCGGTCGGCTCTTTTCACGATTAACCTGTCGGAGGGATACACACATCTTACACACATCCGTCTTTGGTCGCGCGGTCGAGGTCTCTGGGCGCCGAGCCCACGCTGAAAGTCCTGAACTGGCGCAGAAGTCCGGCTTGGTTTGGAAACTTAATCCAATCACGTACGAGCAGGCACAGCAACTAACCAATGAAGCGGAGGGCATATTTTCCAGCTACGGCGGGATAAACAAGCTGTCCTGCTGCTGGCACAGCTTCTCTCCCGGACGCAGGTATCGGAGTACCTGCAACCAGAAGAAACCTTTTTTGAAGCCCTGAACCCCAAAATGCCCCCATCTCAAATCACCTGGAAATGAGCGGAGGGGGCTGGATGGGGTTGGTACAAACACGAGTCCCGACGCAACAAGACTTGCAAAGGAGCGATAAGGGCTCGAACACTACACTAGTGCAGCTTTCGATCGAGCTGCAAGGCCACGGTGGTGATTGCCATCATTTTCCATCATCGCGGTTTGCGACATGCTCTCTGTCATGGCAAGCTTGGAGTTCGGAACCATGACGGTATGTTACAACATCTTCGTATGCGGCAACGTGGTGATGATGGTGGTGCTCGCCTTGGATGAGCCTTGGTACAACCTCTATGTAATCGTCCGGTCGGGCGGTTACCATTTGAACCACCTCATCGCGAATGCCTTCGACACCGAAGCCGTCACCCAAATGGCTTTGGGAAATCGGCGACCGAACGACGGCAAGGGTGCCACGTCTTCCGGGATGGACCGAAGGATTCTGCTCTACTAGCGATGGCCATGGCTAATTGCTGGCGTGCATCTCTCGCGGATGCACCATCAAGGCAGGTGGTCATGTAAACCGTGCCCTTCATGTATGCTGTGCTGTGGTTCTGCATCTTCCGTGCCGTCGGCATCGGCATGAACCTCCGCGCCATCTGGTTGGAGAACATGGGCACCACGGAGTTCGACCATGCGGACTACTACATCCACGCGGACACGAGGATGTGCCGGCGAGCATCCCCGGCGAGACCCTCGTGGCTTATTGCTGGAACATCACCATGAGCCCTGCGTGCAAATATTCAATTCCTCAGGATACTTCTTCGATTTCATGGACCAGTACAGTACTGTGGGCAACGACTCGTCTTCCCGACTTGGCAATTCCTGCGCAAATTAGTGTGTGCGATTTAACTGAGCATTGCTTGGCATGGCTTGTGCATACCTCTTTTCATGTTCAGGTCGGATAAATATTCCCTTTTCGCACGTGCCAAATCTTTGCACACGCCGTCACTGCGTGGATCGCGTGACACATGTTTGAGGGTCCCGGCAGTTATGGCGTGTTACTTATTATGGTTTGTGACTCAGACAACTTTCAGTTGCGATCGCTGCAATCGCTTGGCATCTCCTGTGTGGCCGACAAGTTTTCATGCATAAAGTGCATATCCAGAACACCTTCGAAGGAAAGATTGCCGTTGCCTTAGGGTGGGGGGGCTGAGTTCTCAGTGTATCTTGCATTCTGCTTTGGCCTCAGAGCAACACCAGTAAAGCCGCAAGAATTTATGTCACTAGGCGAGCGTCTGCACAAGACTGACCCACGGAGAATGACATGCAAGGGCCCAGCCGCGCGAAGAAATTGCAGAGAAATAGAAGCATGTTAAAGACGCAGGGCTGAGGATTTCCATCTTTGTCTTCGATTGCAACTCTCACGTACTTGGGTCGTGTTGTTGCAGCTCTCGTTCTGATATCGAAAATGCAGCATCCAACGTGTCCGAGCAGACTCGGCCGTGATTTACAGCAACGTCGGCGAGAGTGTGCAAGACTATGCATGAACTCAAGCTCTGAGCATGTGTGCAGAAATCCTATCCCACAGGGCGCTCATCCTCGCTGTAGTAGTCGCTGAACGCATCACTGGAGCATTCGTCGTGCGACCGCACCTGTGCTCTCCGCAGTGCATGGTGTTCTGTGAAGACCGCAAGAGCTTGTGCAAAAGTGCTACAATGTGCTGAGGCTAGCAAGACCTTCATCCAGCACAAAGTTGCAGCTGGTGCTGACAAACCTCTCCTGAGCTTGTGTTCTCGGCGTTTGAAGCTTGAAAAAGCCTGCCTTGCTTGCCGATGGGGGAGTGTCGAGACGGGAGGCCTCGGTCTGGAACCCGAGCCTGGCCTTCGCTCTTCTAGTAGGGCGCCGGCAAGCGGGCGGCATTGCGGGCCCTGATAACTTCCAACAATTTGGATTCTGGAAATGTCTGCCATTGAGATCAGCAAAGTCAGAGCCACAAGCGGGACGCGTTTCGGGTTTGGGCTAGGGATTTCTGCGCAGCAGGATGACATGCCTTTAGCCAAAGGGCTAGCGGTGGATGCCAACAGGCGTGCACAAACTCCCACAGCTCATGCCTCGTGCTCCCGCCACTCGACAAGCCATGACCGTGATAGCTGCAGGCACAGACTGGACTGAACTCAAAGCGAGTGCTCGAGGCAGCTTGAAAGGCAAATGCTTCAGGCACCTGGTCGTCGGCTCCGTCGCCTGGATGAAGACTTGCTACTTGGGGCCTAGCTACAATGTTGGTGTTGAGCTCGCACTGTCGTCTAGGAACCTGTTCAGGTTCGGTTCTGATACATCTCTGAACAAGGAACATGCGAAGTCCAGCCGAAGATGCCAGACCGAATCGGGATGAGCCCTGAACGAGGCAAAAGCTGGTGCTGACGAACCCAAACGAACCCGACAGTGTAAGTTAAGTCTCACATGATCTGCGGCGCAACAACCATGACCACGTATTCACGATCAAATCAGCCGAAACCTCCATTCGGGCAGCTCCTCATTCCAGGATACGCACCCCAACATCCCGGAATCTGCCAAGCTAAGTTCATCCATTCCTAAACTTGCCAGGAGGCTCGCGCGGCAAGAACCGCAGCAAGCTGCGCCAAGCGGCTTGGCGCCTTTGTGGTGAGCATTCACGCGGGAGGAGTTGGACCTGAGGGTGTTTTGGGAGAGTCTATGTCTCGACCGCAAAACTCCAACATTGAAGAGCAGTTGAGCTCCAATTATGATGAAAAGCGCTTGAAGTGCAAGCAACCTCTAGAGGCTGCCACCTCACCGAACCGAGCCCTGATGTCCTTCTTTCCGAGCATGTATTGAACACCTCTTTGCCAGGGTTGTGACGGCATCCAGAATTGTGAAAGTACATGTTTACATCTAGAACCGGAGATTGTCTCCAGTTTATTGGCTGCTCTCAGGATCTCTCAGGGCAAAGCCGAGTCCAGCTCGTCCTCCTCCCTCAGATCCAGCAGAAGGCGATCCGAAGGAGGACCTGTCTCTCCAGGACAAGCATGGATTGCAAGGGGCTGTGAGGCAAAACTGCTAGGAGTACCGCTCCACACGTTTCGGGGCTACCTATTTCTGCGTGAACCTGAGACTCCCCTAACCCATGAGTGCCAGGAGTGCGGCCGGTGCTGAGCTCGCCCAGGCCATGCGCGACCGCCTTCCGGGTGGCATGGGCTCAAGGGCTTGAGTACGCTTGGGTTACCGGCACCGACGGCCTTCATGCAGTTTCGGACTGGGAGAAGTAGAGAGAGAGAGTTGGGTTCTGAGCCTGTTTGAAGCCGGCGCGTACGAAGCCCAGGCCATTTCTGGCAGTTACCCGGTAGCCTTATTGCGGCTGTCTCCGCCAACGAAGCGATGCATGGCACCATGTGGCCGAAAAGAAAATCCGAAGCCCTCAGCTTAGCCGGCCTCCGGAGCAGTGATGGCAGCACTTCTAGTATGGAGTGACGATGAGCGACGGGTCGAAGGCTGTAAACCCTGCATAGTATCCTGAATTTCGAAGGCGTGATTGCCAACGCGCAAGATGAACGAGATGGGAATCACGCTGTATGGACGCCCGCCCACTTTGCCCAAAAAAATCCTTATCATCCGCAAGGATGTCTTTCGGTCCGGGGCCGAAGCCGCCTGTCCGGCATGATGATTTGTGCTCGACATGGTGTTTCTGCAAAAATCTCGTCTCGCAAAACTCTGAATGAAAATGTAAGGAGCTGCATCGACCTGATATCTTGCATGCCGCCTCTTCCCTATAACAGTGGAGCCTCATCCCACCTCCTGCACAACACTGCTTCCAGAATTGACTGGAGCAAGAAAGCTGGCCTTCTGCCCAGTTTTGTAAAATTGCTGTATGTTCAATTTCTGTTTCCCAGAGCAGCTCCAACTTTGTCCAAGTGCATTCTCCTTTAAAATCACGTCATTCCCTCAGTCCCAAGCTAGCCGCGTTCAGAGGGAGGCAGACTCCATTGAAAAGGTTTACATTTTGGCTTCAGTGTTGTATGTTCCCTGCAAGGGGGGCAGTGGTGCTACATCCCGGCACCCTTCTTGTCATGCTTCCCAAATCGGTTTGGCGGGGAGGGGTGGTGGCACATACCCCCCTCAGCCAGAGCAACGGAGGGGGGGAGATGTACAGGCCAAGGCTGTTGTTCTTGTGGTTCCTGTTGTTGTTGTTGCTGCTGCTGCTGCTGCTGCTGTTGTTGTTGTTGAAGTTGTGATTGTCCTTCTCGTTGTGCTGGTGGTGTAGCGGCAGTAGTACTGGCAGTAGGTGGCGCGTGCCCCCAGCGCCGGAGTACGGATAGCACTTGTTGGTTTTTACGGTGCCGCGTGGTGCGTTGCCGCAGAGCACCCATGTCCGAACCGTGATAACGTCCTGTTCCAACAAACTGTTCTCAGACGCCCATCTCGTCGAGGCGGAGGAAGTCCGTCTTAGACCGTTGCTCCATGTGCACAGTCCCATGGTGTCCTATGCTTCAGCCATCTTGAGCTTGTTTGAAATGCTCACGCACACGGCTCTACCGCTGCTGATCCCGCTGACGCTGCCACTAGCACTAGTGCCACTGCCAATGCCAGCTCAAGCCTGCACGTATAGAGCGGAAGCAAGAAGCAGGCACAGCTATCGTCTAAGACTAAGAACATTTTGTGGGAACAGGACGCTATCACGATTCGGACCTGAATGCTCTATGGCAACACAGAGCTTGGGGGTGATGAGCCCTCTTGCAAGATAGAGACCTCGTCGCCAAACCGGCCTCCGTTCTAGGCTACTGCAGGAAAGTCGATGTGCAAAACCCGACACGAAATGCACTTTCCAGCAATCGCGAAGCGTGTGGGAACAAAGCGCGAACCCCCTTTGCCGACTTCGTGTCTTTTCTCCCGAACAAGACTGCGTTGTGCAAAAGCACAAAACACCACCAATACCAATACCGCCGTTTGCCTCTGTTCGGGTAACATCGGACAGCACAAAATGCCGTAAATAACGGCATTCGGAGGAAAGCATCAATCTCCGTGAAAGGCACAGACGGCCAAAATTGGCTCTCACACAAGTAGTTGTGGCAACATTTTCCTCATGCTTCTGACAACGAAGGCTCTACATAACACACGTTTTGGTTGCAAATGTTGCGGCGCACATAGGCGCCCGTGGCACGCATTGCATGGTAGTGGTGGTGGTAGTAGCAGTA